ATAGGGAACTGATTCAAAATGCCCCGGTCGACTTTTCGCACCTCGATCCCCGCGAAGCCGCGAGAGGCGTTTCGCGGACGCTGCCTGGTCCGTTTGAACGCAGCGGCGGCCCGGCTTCGGGCCGGCCGAGCCGTGACGAGCCGCGCCAATGGCTGCGCTCGGCTCCCGGTCGGCGGCCCGAGCGCAGGGATTGGCGCGGCTCGTCACGGCCAGGCTGCCTCCGCAGCCAACTTCGCCCGGCGCGCCGCTGCGTTCAAACGGACCAGGCAGCGTCCGCGAAACGCCTCTCGCGGCTTCGCGGGGATCGAGGTGCGAAAAGTCGACCGGGGCATTTTGAATCAGTTCCCTATCCAGTCTAGTGTGTACACGCGAAATTTGGCGCTGTTGCCGTACTCCGTTTAGTCGCACGGGTAAACGACTGAAATTTGGACTTTGCGTCACCTACCCTTCGCCGCGGTGGTGGCAGCCGGTCTAAAATGTGGTTGGGCACTTCCCTTGGACCCTTGGCAACATACCTAGACGGCGCCCGCGTCGATCCGCCGCACGCGGGCTGCCTGGGGCGTGCGTTTGTGAGACGGTGCGCGCAGCCCGCGCGCCGAGGCCAAAAACTTTGGGGCCGATGCGCGCCCACTTAGGGTTGTCGGATCGCGCTCAAATTTGACACACCTTCGTTTTAGACCAAGATCTTCATTTCTAGCCTATCGTACGATGGAATTTCAAACTTGTGAAACACCCTACCGGGAGTTCTTCTCATATACTGTGACTTGCCGGGGTTGATCTCCAAGCCAAGCAGCCGCAGAGCCCGAACGAGGACCGGGAGTATCCGCCTGAGGTGCTCCAAGTCCCTGGCGAGAAACAACAGGTCATCCGCGTAGGCCAGCCCGACGGGGAGCATCCCGGGCCTGTCAACATTCAATGAAAGCTCCGGGACTTCCCTCGCTACCTGCTCCATTGCCCAGTGGACTGCATCCGTGAAAGCCCAAGGAGAGTAATTGCATCCCTGCCGCACTCCACGCCCGCGCCGAACCGCCGCCGACGTGGCCCGTCCCCACCTGACTCTCGTAGATTCCGTGCAGGCCAGCCCGATGACCACATTCACCAGGTTCGCCGGGACCCCGCGCTCCAGCAGGTTGGCGATCATGGCGTGCTGCGACAACGACGGGAACGCCTGCCGAATGTCGAGCGCCAGGACGTGGACGGCCTCCCCAGCATTCCAGTACTCGTCGAGGATCCTCCTCGCCAGGAAGGTGTGGTCGTTGCAGGATCGTCCGGCCTGGAACCCCGCTTGGTACCACGGCATCGCAGGGGTCTGCTCCATCATGAGCTCCAGTAGATGCCGCGCCTGCAACTTGTACACCCCATTGCAAAGAGCGATCATCCTAAAGTGGTCGACCTCCGTCGCCCTGGGGACCTTGGGGATCGGCTGCTGGAACGATTCAGTCACTTCATCCGGGAACACCGCGTCCTCCCAGAATCCAGCCGACGTAGTTGCCAACTCCTCAAAGAAGACCTCCGGGGCGTAGATCAACCACTCGTTCGGAATACCGTCCGGGCCGGCCGCCGTCCACCTGGACAGCCTCTGCGCATAGCCCCTCAGCTGCAGAGAGGTTGGCGGTCGTAGCGGGGCAGTTCCTTCAGGGACCGGAACCCTCGGCGGCGGGAAACCCCTGATGTTGTTGAGTGCCGCCTCCCATTGCCGCATGGTGGGTCCAGGCCGCGCAGCCTGCACAGTACGGCGTTCACGCCTCAGATACCTTAACAACAAGCCCATCCTCTGCATCGGTGGTTGCTCCTCGATGTCCCCCAGGTCCCTGGCCAGCACCTCACGCTCGTGGCTCCTCTTCGCCGCCCGCAGATTGGTCCGCGCCTGGGCATGGATATCCACCGAGAAGGCGTCCCCATTGGTCCTGCGCACCAGGTTGGCGGCCGCCTGGACGTTGTTGATCGCCATCTGCCTGTTGGGAGTAAGCGGAGAGCCTCTTCTCACCAGAGTTGCCGCTGCCGCCGTCCGGAGTGCATCAGCCAGCCTGGCCCACGACAAGGGGCCGAGTGGGGTCTGCTCCCGCAGTCTGGTGATGGAGATGGACACCGCACGTTGATAAGCCTCCCTGGCCTCCTGGTCCGAGGCAAGCAGACTGGCATCAAGTGGGGGACCCCGGTTCCGCCTTCCCGGTTCAGCATGGACCTGGGCACCAGCCGCAGCAATCCTCGGTCGAGTCGGAGTATGCAGTGTGACCACCAGCGGGACGTGATCCGATAGCCGTGGCCACGGCAGGTCCGCGAAGGTCCCCTGAAACCTGTTATAATTGGAAACAACATGGTCCAGCTGCGACTCAACACCCCGGCCCGACCAGGTCACCAAGCAGTCCTTCGCCTTAGTTGTTGTGGTCCAGATCCGTAACCGATGCTGCCTGGCGATCATCAGGACCTCCTCACCCGCGGCGTCGCTGTGTCTGGCCAAAATCCTTGGGCCCAGGACCTGGTCGTCTGGAGTCCTGCTGGTGTTTCCAAGGTGTGCATTGAAGTCTCCCAGCCAGAAGCACCAATGGGTCTCGGGGACAGCAGCCACCTCGGTCGCCACCGCACGAAGGACCTCCGCCTGCCGCCCATCGGTACTGCACGGAACATGGCAAGTGATGATGGTCGCCTCCGCGAGCCCTATCCGCACCTGCATGACCCCCACATCCCGGTGCGGAAACGAGTATCTCACCGCCCGGACAGCGCCAGCGCCCCTACGCCGAACCAGGAAGGCCAGGCCGCGCCCGCCCCTCGGTTCGCAGCCCTCTACGAACCAGCGGTAGTTCTCGGTGTGTAGCTGCTGAGCCGGCATCCGAGTCTCTTGAAGCACCGCCACCTCGACGCCGAGTCGATGCAGTCGCTGGTCAACCTCGTCCCTGACCTCAGGCCGAGCGCAGCCTCGGACATTCCAGGTGCACATCCGAGTCCGGGGTGGCATCGCGTCAGGCTCTCCGAGCTGATCCTCCAGGTCGACTCCAGCAGTCCGCTGGCTCGCCGCCCCTTCCTCGGTCTGTGTGGTGTTGGTTGCCACCGAAGCCGGCGCCGCCCGCGCTGCCGTCGCCGTCGCCGCCGCCGCCTCCACCATTGGCACCACCCTACCTCCAATCGGCTCAACCCCCGCGACCGTAGGGGCAGGTGCTCTCCGCTCCTCTTGATGCTCCACTTCATCTACAACAACATCAAAGTGCCACCTTCCCACCACTCCATACTCGAGCTCCTCCTCTCTGATGGACTGGGCCAGTACAATGGGCCGGATGCGCCCTCCGTCGTCATACCCAGCCGGATAAACGGTAACCGGGTCGCCGCCAGCACGAAGTATCCTCACCGGCCTCGCTAGCAGCCCCACCAGCCCGTGGATACTCTCGGTACCCGCATACGTTCCTGCCTCCCGCAGGTGCTTGAGCGCGGCCAGCACCGGGTCACCGCCACCGCCATCAGGGAGCCGCTCGGCATGCTCCATCAGCACCGGCCAGAACCTCGAGACGTGGTTCGCCATGTAGGATAGCGTCCCCCGCCAGAGCCGAGTGGCATGGAATTCCCACGAGGGGTCCCTCACTTCGACTAGTCAGTGTACAGAGGGTCAACCAGTCATTTTTTCAGTCACTTCTAGTCAATTCTAGTCGCAGCAGTCACCCCTAGTCACCTCTAGTCACCTCAGTCACCTCAGTCGCCTCTAGTCACTTCCAGTCATATTCAGTCACTTTTAGTCACTTTCAATCACAATTTGATGAATTAAAAAGGTCATAATGTTGCAAGAAATTTCAAGTATCCTCAGACAATACTGGAGAATTGCCTTCCCTTCGTGTCTCCGTTTTGAATATCGCGGCTTACGAGCGTCTACTTCAGATTCAGATTGTTTTCTCTTCGGGTCGTCTTCGGGTCGCCCGCGTCGCTCTTCGGCTCCTCCCTCGCCCTCCTCCCCTTCCTCTTCTCCCCCTCCCCTCGTCTCGTCTCCTCCCGTCGAGAACCTTCCCGCATCGCGTCGGTCCGGTCGTGACTTCAAGCGCGGATCCAAGGGGGGGGCACCGGGGGCGAGTGCCCCCCCCAAAACCTCAGACGCGCATGGGAAAAAAGGGAGAGAAGGGAGAAAGAGAGGAGGGACGAAAGAGGAGAGGAGAAGAAAAGGAAAGAATGAGTAAAGATAAGCGGAAAAATTGAAAAGTTTGAATTTGAAGTGCGGAGCTTTCAGCTCGCTTCGCTCGCAATAAGCAACAGGCTTGGTGCACAAGTAATTGCCGGTTCGGTCGAAGTCATAGCCTTGAAACGAATAGGAATATAGAATAGTACTGGTGGTTTGATGCGGACCTGGGTAGCTGGTTCTGCTATCGGGAAATTGTTTTAGTGTTTCATAAGAAACCTCTTCAACTAAACGCCAGTCTAAATTTGAACGGCCCATGGCTTGGGGCTCGCTTCGCTCGCAAAGTATCTGTGTTTCTCTTTGCTTTTTAGATTAAAAACTTTGGACTCTTGTTAAAATTGAGCCTCGATTTTGAAAAAGTATGAAGCTTGCGGCTCGCTACGCTCGCCGGCAATAACTACATCCATCCTTTAACCCATAAACAAACCCGTAGGGTTACTTATTACCTTTCTAGATCTAATAAAACGCCACTCCTAATTTTGAAACATCAGTGGCTTGTGGCTCGCTCTGCTCTGTCGTTTTCACATAAAAACCTTAAAAAAGATCAAAAATTCAGCCCAAATTTAAACAAGGTCGGTAGCTTGCGGCTCGCTTTGATCGCCGCAAACCACGCGAGTTGTATAGTTCAAAACCTGCTATCCACTCACACTTCGATTAACAGTCTTAAGAGTATTCAAATGCGTACTTTGCTGCGAGAATGGCCCACTATACTCTTTTAACGGTCAATGCGGCGGAACGTCTCAATATCGGCGATCATGCCCCTGTAGGTAGGCAACCTGTGATACACATCTGCCAAAAGTGCCCCCCCTAAACGGAAATCCTGGATCCGCGCCTGCGTGACTTTGTTGTTTTGGCGGCTTCAACGCGGCAAACCACTTACTGGTAAGATTAAATTCGTTTGCGCACAACTATTATCATTAAGGACCTCGAGTGATTGTTCGTTTAGCCTTGTGTTCTGCTCGTTGAGTAGGAGTTTCGGCGAAGTATATCGTGCCACAGTCGGCCACAGTACAGAGGCTTAAAACGACTTGGAAATTTTGCCGTGCTGCCCACGGCGTCTGTTTAGGGTTAGGAACAGCAACTAGATTTAAAGAAATGAAACATAAATCAATGGGTGGCATTGTGTCCCTTTCATTTGGCGCATTTTCCTCCAAATATCTCGATGATGTTGTATGTTCGTTCCTCTATATTGTTGTTTATGACTTTCAGGTAAGAGGCACAATGTGCACCTGTTGGGGGAGGCGGCCTCGGAGGCCTCCCCAACTCGGCCCCAACCACCAAGGACCCAGTCCTGCATCATTGACGATGGTTTTCTCTCAGTTTCAGAGGTAAGGTTGAAATGAGCATTCAAACCCTAACAGTTCAATAATGTTGGACATTCAGTTCAGTTCGGCAACAACCTTGTTTCTTTTTTCAAAATGAATTTCATTTTAATTGTTTATGCTGTGGCGTTAGTTTTAGCTGTTCATACCTTTCATACAACTAGGCGAAATTCTAATTACGTTCAGTGACTTTGACTAAATTGTATATTGCCCATAACTTCACTCCGATTTATCAATAACCTTTGTTGATTTGATTTCATCTTATTTCTATGGACAATTTTTCCAAGCCCACATCACGGGTTTGTTTACATATTTTGCCCGTGAGCCAGCACATTAGTGTGGGTGATATTTTCCATTTTAGCCACGGTGTTTCAAAAAGAATATTGAGTGGAATCGAACCCTGTGGCCAAAACATAAAATACCGCCCTCACAAATTTGCTAGCTATTGGCTTGGGAAAGCTCGGGAAAAAGGATTTCAAAGGAATTATTAGTTCATCTCACTGGTCATTTGATAAAGTGGCGTAAGTCCACCAGAAGTCAGATTCTTTCTTTGTAAACATTTTTCGGTGCAGCTACTAATCAGGAACGCCTTCAGAATCATTGCAGATTTTGTTCTATATGTACATCTGGCCACTGTGCTTGGTATAGGTACGGTCCCAATGATAAGTAATCAAATTTACCTCATAACAAATGCCTTTTAGATAATTACAGTGAAACAAAATTTTCTTTCAAAGGCATTTGGTTAAAGGTAAATTTGATGACTTATCATTGGGGCCATATCTATACCAAGCACAGTGACTAGATGTACATATAGAACAAACTCTGCAATGATTCTGAAGGCGTTCCTGATAAGTGGCTGCACCGAAACATTTTTACAAAAAAAGACTCCAACTCCTGGTGGACTTACGCCACTTAGTCAAATGACCAGTGATCTATGCCAAGCAAATTTTAACTCTACTTTATGTTACAGCGCCAGCAGTTTCATCGAGCTTGAACCATGGAAGCGAATGGGAGTCCAGAAGATCGGACATCAGGGCCCAACAATCCACAACAGTCATCGCTTAGTCCGCCCACCGAGCTGCCCACCCATAACCCAACAGCAGAGCCAACACCAGAGCCAGCAGAAGAGCAAACAGAAGAGGTACATTAAATTAAATTTCAAAGTTTTTAAATTATTAATTAACATTTATTGAATTTCTCATAGATCTTTCATTTCTTTCTAGGAAAAATTTCATTCCAAACACCCAATGTGGAGGGAATTGATGAGATCCATGAACTGCAAGATAGACGACCACATATTACGACTTCTTCAGATTAGTGGATTTGGAACGTACCAGGCGTTGAAAGAACTTGCTCAAGAAGATTTGGACTTCATCGTTAAGTTTGTGAAGAGTGGTGATATTTTAGATCGTATTGATAGTAGTGAACTGCCAATCTTCTTGGGGCCCTGTAAAGCAAAGGAAAAGTTCTCTTTTCTCCCAGGAGAGTGTAAATTGTTGTTTAAAATAGTTGAATATGTAAAAAAAAACCATTCAGAGTCTGAAAAGAGTTTAGGCAAAATGTCTCTTTATCCCATATTTCAAGCTAAGTCTAGTAGGAAGTCAAGTTTCTGTGATAGTCCATCTAGTTCTAAAAAGGCTAAGACTGATCTAGTTAATTCATGTGATATTCCTCAAGAAGTATTAGATATTAAGAAAATTCTGAAGGATCATTGCAAAAAGAAATCCTTGCCTGATGAGTTTTCTGCATCAGTTCCTAACTTAAGCATTACTGTTAAGACTGTTGACACAAATGAAAAGTCTTATTTATCTGCTGTTATTATCTGTTCATTTTGTAAGAAAGGTCAGACAGTCCAACGCAATCCAAAAGAGACATGGAACTTGTCTAATATGAATAGGCACTGGCGAGGCCATGCCTCAAAAGGAGATTATAAACCAAAGGGTGGAATTGAATTGTATGCATCAAAGAAATCCAACACTCCTGGAAGTGAGGAAACCACCAACACAGATGAAGAAGAGAATGCACACAGTATTGATTTGACTGCAGAAAGTGATGAGACAACACCTAATGAGCAAAGGAATGAAGAACAAGGAGGTTCTGCCACCACTAACTCTTCTGGTACAAGTGAAAATTTTTGACTTTAGGGGGGATGAAGGCACAGCATGCTCACACCCCCCCCAGTCAGCAGATTTGCCTGTGAGAAGTACAGCAGATTGGAAAGAAGAAAACGTGCTCTTGGTAGGCATTCGGAGGATCAGCTAAAAATAACATAATATTTTAAGATTTTGAACGATGTAGAAATTACTTTGCTTTCTAATGCTGAGATTATAAAGACACTGTCTGCCCGCTGTGAAGAATTGTCTGCTGTTGTGTCTGATTTATCAGACCGTTCAAATTTGTCATTTCTCTTGAGGTTGCTCTTGGAAACAGCTCAAAAGAATTCACTCAGAGAACCACATGGACGGTCTTATGAAATGGACATAAAATACTTTTCTGTTTACCTATTCATTATTTCTGGACGCTTTGTTTATGAATTTCTGTATGAAAATCTTAAACCTGCTCTGCCTGCTTTGAGTACAGTTGAGAGAGCACTTGCTTCAGCTTCGGAACCTGTAAGAGAGGGAGAGTTCAGATTTGCAGAGCTAAGTGACTTTTTAGACAGTAATAATTTTCCAAGGAAGGTGTTTGTTGCCGAAGATGCTACAAGAATTACCCAGAAATTTTTATACGATTTGACTAGTGACCAAATCATTGGCCCTGTACCTCCTCTTGCTGAAAACGGAGTACCAATAATGGACTCCTTTCCAGCATCTTCTGCAGCTTTGATAGCTACACATTTTTAGAAATGTAAACCATCTTCATCTGCCTATGGTATTATGGTGCAACCTGTTTATGAAGGAGCCCCATCGTTTTGTTTGTGTATAGTTGGAACCGACAATAAGTTCAAAACAGATCATGCGCGCAAAAGATGGTATTATATCTACGATGAGCTTGAAAAGTTAGACATTGAGTGCTTTGGTTTTTGGCCCGCCCTTCTATTCAAAAAATAGGGGGAGGGCCTATGCATTTGCCTTTGTGTCTGTGTGTTGTTGTTGTTGTTGTTGTTGTTGGCGTCTGTGTACAAGGAAGGAGTTGAGCTAGAGTAACCAGATTTGGAGGGTACTTCAGGAGTACCGTCCAAACAAATAATCCGGTGGTGCAAATCCCGTCCGGGTCGCACAAGGGCTGCTGCAGGTGCATCATGGTTTACATGAGCGGGAGGGGGATTTCCGCCATTATTGGTGCTAGCAGGGCACATATGGGTATTTTTGGAATCGGGGCGACGAGACAAGATGAATGGACCTGGTCCCGACCCCATCGGCCGCTTTTACAAGTTGGCCAGATCAGGATCTTCAAAAAAGGGGGTCGACCGACTAAAAAAAATTATTGCAGATTTCGATTGGTCTCAGCAAGACCTTTTCAACGAGGGGTCGGAAAGGGGGTCTAGGAGCCCGACTTCGTCTATTAGTCACATCAGGATCTTGAAAAAAGGGGGTCGACCGACTGAAAATTTTTACTTAAGTTTTGGATAGGTCTTGGCAAGACCTCTTCAACGAGGGGTCGGAAGGGGGTTCCAGGAGCCCGCCTTCATGAGTTACGGGAAAAAGTGCGACGGACTCGTTTTGCGCTCCTGCTGTGCCTCTATTGCAAGGAGTTGCAGTAGCATGGCAAATATGGGTATTTTCGGAATGAGGGCGAAGAGACAAATGAAATGGGCATATTCTAAGGACAGTTGGAGTAAAAAGTGTAAGGACTATTGCATATTGTGAATAAAAGGGCGGGCCTAAGTCACGATGGTACATCGATAACTTTGCTTTACCCGCTCACGGGGTGTGTGATGCGAGCGGGCCGAAGGCCCGGGCCTTCGACTGGCCAAGTTGGGTCTGATGTGAGGGCCGAAGGCCCGAGGAAAGGCCGCCGGCAGGCCAAGCTGGGCCGGCCCCCTGTCGAACCGAGTTGCCGGCGCAGCGAAGCGGAGCTGGCAACTCGGTTCGACGGAAGGGCGGGCCCTAGCTTGTTCTTCAGATGGAGACCCGAAAATGCTGTCTGCCATGCACTCTGTAATGTTTAGCCCTGGTCCTCCGTGCCCCATAGATTTTAAAGATTTCTATTTTGCTAGTGGTGTACAGAAGTTTACTGTGACCCAAGATTACATTCACACAGTAAATAAGTTTCGTTTGAGATTAAGCCCATCTTACTAGGGGTACGCGCCGTTCAGTCTGGGCGCGTAGTGTGGCTGAGCAATGCGAATTGACATTTTTTGTGCACTTTGGACTTTGCTTGAGTAGATGAAATGTCCATCTTATGGGCTCATATTCAGTGAACTTTAGACCAGGGGTACAAATGGAAGTGATTTTCGTTATCAGAACACCAAAAACTGCTGGGATCAATGTCGAACTCGATTTAAAAATTTTGGTCTAAAATTGGTCAAAATTTGGTTAAATATGAGTCTGGGAAAAGTTTGAAGGTCATTTTTGAGTTCAGCACACCAAAAACTGCAGGGAACAATGTGCAACTCGACATAAAAATTTTGGTCCAAAATGATCTAATTTGCGATGAAAATATAAGTCTGGAGTCGAAATGAAAGTGATTTTCGTTATCAGCACACCAAAAACTGCTGGGATCAACGTCAAACTCGATTTAAAAATTTTGGTCCAAAATTGGTCAAAATTTGGGTGAGTCTGGGAAAATTTTGGAAGTCATTTTTGAGTTCAGCACACAAAAAACTGCAGGAAACAATATAAAACTCGACTTGAAAGTTTTGGTCCAAAATGACCTAATATGGGATGAAAATATAGGTCTGGAGTTAAAATGGGAGTTATTTTCGTTATCAGCACTCAAAAAATTGCAAGAATCACTGTACAATTCATTTCAAAAAATTTAACCAAAAATCGGTTAAATTTTGGGTTAGGGGACAATTTAGATGTCAATATTGAGGTCAGCGCACTGAAAACTACAGGAAAATACATAAACCTCAACTTGGAAAGTTTTGCCCCAAATTGCGTAGCTCTAGACGAAAATGTAGGATTGGCATTGAAATAAATGTAGTTTTTGTGACCAGTACACTGCAAACTACATACAATACTTTAGACTCAATTTCTGTATATTGTTCCTACTTGTCTTCATGAAGCACCCTCTGTCGCCACCAATTCCCTGATGCCACACCAAAGCGAATCCCTCAGTCGAGTAAAATTCAATTGCCAGCATTGAATCGCTTAATTGGCTACTCGTATGCTTGGGTCACTATTCGATAACTCTTTTTTCTTAACTAATGAACTCACAATTTTATAAGTTATATTTATGAAACATTTTGTCATTCTGTCATTGTGAACCAGTGAATAAAACAATATTGATTGGAACATGCTATCACAGTAAATATTAAGAGAGTCAGTTTAGGGTAGGCTGATCTGAACCAGTTAACGGGGACCAATTATTGTCAAATCCAGTGATTTGTCACATAGAGTCCAATGCCAAGGCTTCCCAAGGCTCAATGAACCGACATAATTTATCTTACTCATGTAAACAATACTGAGTAGTACCAGTTATATTAACTTCGGTGAAGTTAAAGGAATCGTCTCACTAGATCCAATCACCAATTCACTCACCGCTCAAAACCTGAGTCGTCTCTTTGAAACCAATATCAATTCAAACTCCATTAGGATTAAATATACACAACCATATATTGATTTTATTAATAAACTCATGTTAGTACTTTTGCACTCTTGTCAGCTTGCAGCATTGCAATAGAATGAATTTCTTGAGTCGAAACTAAGTATGCCTGCCAATTTCAACACAAGTTATTGATGCATTTCCCTGATTTCCTCTAGTTTGAAAATTTTAAAAAGAGGATGACACTAGAATGAAATAAGAAGATGCACACAATACAAAAGGTCAAAATAAAAACATCCTTTTTACAATGCTTTGTTAAAGTGCACTGACCTGAAGATGATTCCCCTCTGACAGGGGAGGGGGGGAGAGGGGAACGAAACACGTAAATCATTTTCGAATCCATTCTCCATATTTCGCTGTGTTGGTGTTCCAAAAGGGTTTTAATCATTCAAGAATGTTGAAAAAGTAAGGCCGATCTCATTTCCAAACCCTTCTGCTTTTTATTTCGTTTTATTTGCTTATTTGCTTAAGTCCCGTATTTGAGAGCCGCGGACCCGCAGGTATGAGAAATTGGTAAGCGCTGCCGTGCTGCCAACCTAACCACGCTAATGACCTGATTCAAAAATATGTTTTGAATATTTCAAACGATACTAAACAACGATTTGAAACAAACTCGTGTTGGGGGGTACTAAGGCGACGTTAAATACGAAATCTTGAAACTATAGCCACTGTAGTGGCTGAGAATCGTTGGTGAGTACAAACAGACAGACGCACGACCAGTCACTTTTCTGCGCGCCCAAACACGGCAAGGGCTTCGCTATCGCTCAGCCAAATTATCTGCCTCTAGGAAAGTACACTGCCAGTGTTTCTCACCTCACAATTTTGATGGAAACTGTAAGTAAAGAGGAGCATGGACTCACTCCTGCTGACCTGCAAAAGGACAAAATGAATTTTAACGCCTCTGTTAAAATATGCAGTGAACGTGTTACTGATTCATTGGAAAAACACGTTCCAGGTAGTGAGGGCACTGTCGCTTATTTAAATGTAATGCGCTCAGTTATGGAGGCTGGCCTTAACAAAACTCTGTCCCCTTTAGAAATAATTTACAAGATATGGTTTGCTGTGTTTTTTTTTAGGTGCTGGAAACTTTGGCTCTTGTCTAATCCTCGATTCAAACTTGACAATTTTGTTTCAAGAAACCTCTACATTTGTGTTGAAATCATAGCTCATTGTATCATCCATCTAATTGTGAAATGTAGAGATGAGAATAGTCCTGAGTACTTGCTAATCCACCTGTTTTCCAGCCAAATTTGTGAAAGTTTGTTCCGACTATTGCGTTCAATGACCACAACAGAGTCAACTGTCATCAACTTTTCCATGAAAGAAGTGTTACAGAAAATAAGAAGAATTGACATCATGCACAGCATTACATGCAAAATGACTGGCAAACTTGAATTTCCAAGGGAGAAGAGGAAGCGCCTTCTTGGAGTGCTTAGTGATGAAAAACTGAAGACAACTTACCTCCCAACCAATGAAGAGATACGAACATGTGTCCTGGCAGCTAAAAGTGATGCCATCTCTCTCCTTCGTAAACTTGGAGTATCTTGCGCACCTGACACTCTTGGGCGAATCAAGTCCAGTTTACTTTCCTGTGAAACTTTTGAACCAGATGAAAATCCAGATGAAGTATCTCCATCTCCTTTGTATGTTGCAGAAGTGAATGATGATGATGTCCCTCTTAATTTACTCCAAGCGTTCCCTTCCCCTGAATCTGTCTGTGACCTTGATCCCCATGGTATTGTTGATGAAAGTACCAATCTCTTGCGGGGACATGTACTGGTTCCCGACAAGAGTGGTGGTTTTAAATCTGTTTCCAAATCTTTCCTGTGTTGGCTCTTTGCCAGTTGTGGGAGTGCAACATTGAACAACATCAGAATTCATAGAGTCCGGGAACAAATTTTAACGTCAATGGGAAGTGTTAGTAGACCATCAAGTAATTTAGTTGTGTCTGAAAATGAAGAGGTGGAGATTGGCAATTGGTGTTTATTTAAAGAGAGATCTATGGCAATTGGTGTTTATTTAAAGAGAGATCTAAGTACTTTGTAATTAATATTTTAGGTTTTAAGTACCTCTCAGGGAAAAACTTGAGGTATTCACTGTGCAAGGCACCTGTACGAGCTCCAACTGGCACTGCTTGTAGAGGAGTAGGATGCCTTGGAGTTTGGTATACAGTTGAGGGACATAAATTGAAGTTGCGCCCTACCCAACACAACACAATCGAAATTGAAAAATATGTGGCTACTGTTCCCTCTCCTAACGTTGTTGGTGACGTACTTGAGCTTGCTGCATGTGCCCTGCTTTATTATTCTAAGCTATCTTCTTCGTGATTTTTTCTGTCATGTTGTGTTTTGAAAAATGTTTTTTTTAATTAAACATGTTAAAAACTTGTAACTTAAATTGACTTCTGTTTCTTTTATCTTCCACCTAGTAGTCCATCTAACAAACTTAAATCACTGAGGCTTGCCATGTGGCTCACCGAAATAAACCTCTCCCCTTGGTGTGGACGGCCTGTTGGCGCCGTGCAGTACAAGCACGGCAGAGCCGGAGTAAAGCCTCTCAAGGCTAAGTCCAAGGACTGGAGCCCCTGCCGCCAGCGTGGGTGAGTGCCGCCTGCCGGGCTAGGGACGAGTCGTGTTTATTTCGTGCTCCGGGTTTTTGCTAATTAGTAGTGGTATAAAGTCAGTGTTGTGGTCAACATGTGGTATCGATCGATGTGGTTCGCGTCCGGGCGTCGACGTGTCCTACTGCAAAGTGGTTTAGTGCAACGGTGTCCGAGAAATCAGCAATTTACCCGTGGTGTCTTTGTCCGGGCCCTTGGCGTCCTCTCACACATGGCGCAGCGTCTGCAGGCAGGCCTGGGCGTGGGGTGGGGGCTGGGGCACGCCGCCCTGGGCCAGCCGAGCCGGGCCCCGCAGCCGCAGCCCGAGCCGCAGCCCCTCGCCTGCAGCGTGTGCTCCAAATCAGTGTTCGTCGACGCCAACATCAAGCGAGTACCGGTAGCAGGTAGCAGTGCAAGCATCCCAGCGCAACTCCAGGTAAGAGCGCGGCCGTCCCCCTGCCGGCCCTGCTGACCGCGGTCACCCCCGCGCCTCGCGACGCGGGCCCACCACCTGCTGCGGCTCGCGGACCTCCGTCATAGCAGCGAGGCGCAACGAGGGTGGCGCAATTGCATCCCCGCGCACCGACGCCGTGGACGCGGTGGCGCCGGTTCTGGTGGTTTTCCCTGCGCCGGGCCGTGGCGACGCGCACCAAGACGCCGTGCGGTGGCCTGGCGGCACGCAGTCGGTCCCCCTCTGGATTCCAGCAGGAAGTGGCGTAGCACGCAGCGTCGCCGCCCCAGCCTCGCTCCTGTCAGTTCACAGCAGCCGGACCTCCTAGCCCTAGCCCACCTACGCCCATGAACATGTGAGCCGCAGCGTCGTCTGGGTTCTGTTTTTCGTCACGGTCATTTGCATTCTCCCCCTCCCCCGCCTCCCCCGCCTCCCAACGTCGCAGCGCAGCAGGCCTCCGGCCGACCCGACCCCCCCCCCCCCCTACTCCCTCCCCCGCCGTCAAAGCAGTGCGTCTCCGTCGCAGGTCCAGCAGCCGCCTCGCAGCCCCCCCCCCCCCCGGGCCCTAGTCCTCGTTCGCAGGTCGCGTTCTACAGCTGGCTCACTGTCCCGGGAACTTTTGCTCTCCACGCGCAAGATCTGGCACCATCGGGACGGTAGTACTGGAGTCATCGGTCCGCGGCAGGAGCTCAAGTACTTCGGTGTCGCGGTCAGTCTGCGAAGCGGCGCCAGCGGACACCACAACGCCGTCTAGACCCCTATCCTTGCGACCGAAGAGGATCAGCCCTGCAGTATCTGGCACACCTACTCGCGGGCGCGCAGTGCGGCACAAACCGCACGCAGTTAACATCGTGGGGGTGGGCCTTGGGCCTCGCATCGTTCCAGGTCTCACGACGAAAAGTCGCAGATGCCTGTACGGCAATGCATTTCAGGCCTCACGACGCTGCGGACAGATACCACAACTACAAGGTCGCATCAAGAGGAGGGTAGGAGTGAAGAGGCTGAAGCAACTAGAAGACCTGCTCAACACAGCCCCTAGAAACGGGGTGAAGAAAGACGAGTGTCGGACTCGGATAAGGTGTGTAGGGGTGGACGGCCAAAAGGCTGTCCCCGCTACATACCCAGATGCGTGGGCGTATGTACCCGGTCTACCGAGAAAACCACTCCTCTCAGTAGGGACGCCCCGTCACGTGCTGGTGAATCACCGACATGACCGGGCGGGCCCGAAAGCCAGACGATCATTTGTGGTCCAGGCATTAATCGCAATCGCAATCGCCAGCGTGGGTAGGCAGCCCACCACGCACCGGTGGCGCGGGACTGCCTAACTACCCGGCGACTCGGCCCTTTTCACGCTGTTTTTGCTCAGCGTGTCTCCATTCACCTTTAGTCAGCTTCCAATCATCTCCAGTCAGCTTCCAATCACTGTCAGTCACTTTTCAGTCACATCCTAGTCAGCTCTAGTCAGCACTAGTCACATCCAGTCAACTCTAGTCATTTGCAGTCACTCTACTCATTTCCAATCAATTATAGTCATTCCAGTCAATTATAGTCATCCCAATCAATCCAGTCACTCCCAGTCACTTCCAGTCACTTCCAGTCATTTTTCATTTCAGTCAGTGTACACCCATTTTGGGAGTGAGGGACCCCTCGAATTCCCATCCTCCTTCGTCGTGGGGGAAGAGGGCCCTCGCCGCGGCGCTGTAGAGGGAGTGCGGACCTTCCGGGACCGGGGCAATCCTGGCGTATGACTCGGTGGTGTCAAATCCTTCCAGCTGATGCTGTCCTGTAACAGAGACCTGTTCACACTCCTGCCTTACTCCCCCCTCCCCCGCTCCCTCCTCCCCTCCGCCCCGCCCCGGCGACCCCTCCCCGAACCCCCTCCGCCTAGGCAACCCAACGTGCATACCCCGCTCCGTCCCCCCCCTCCCCCCCATCCTCCCGGTCTTCCCTCTCGAGCCGCAGCCAGTGCCGCGCTCACCCCGCCTCAATGCTCCAGCACCTACCTCCATCTTCCAGAGTGCACCGTTCCTCGTCGTCCTCCTGCATGCCATTCCGCCGTTGAGAGTATGCTGTCCGGGGTTGGTGGTACAGCCGTGAGTTCTCGAGAGAGTCGTCCAAGTTGGAAGGAGAAGTGATCCATAAGACGGTTCGTGTACAACTGGTTTATTGTCGACTTAAAATCTTTCACACTGACAGTTTACATGGTTTTCCGGAAGGGGGCGCTAGTGGCGCGAGATCTCGAATATCGTTCGAGTATGGAACACGATATCCACAGGGGGGTTAATGTTAAAAACATCACAGTCAAAACAGGGGGGAAACATGATGCATCAAGGGGAACATGATCTAGATCTTCAAATAAATAACAACAATAGAATAACAACGATAGAAAAACAATAGGATCCAAATTAGGGTGCTCGAGCAAGTTGATTACAATGTACTTTTTTGATTACACCAGAAATGGAAACATGGTAGTGCGTGGGGCCCAAGGCACGTACGATTACTCCATTAAGAACTGGGTGACGTTTAGATAGTTTTAGAATAACAGGATCTCCTTCTCTAAAAGCTGCGAGAGAGGAGGACAATCTGGAATCAGGTCTAATACTTGGATTAATGACAGTAAGAGGGGTCCTTGTTTTAAATGAATGCAACATTTCATTGGGCGATTTATGAGTGACTGTTGAAGGAATATTCCTATAATCAAAAAGGAATTTGCTTATGGTTAGTTCCAGGGGTTCGTCAGTACCCGCATTCTCTGGAAATAACTTAGCTAATGCAGACTTAGCAACTCCAACAGAACTCTCAGCCAAACCATTGGATTCCGGATGATACGGAGGGATTCTTTTGGAAGTGATAGACAGAGAGGTACAAAACTCTAAGAACTCTGCTGAGTCGAAAGGAGCTCCGTTGTCTGACACAAGAATTTCAGGCAAGGTTGCAAACATAGCAAAAATAGAAAACATGACATTGATGATAGTCTCTGCTCTGAGATTGGGAACTACTTGAATATGTAGCCACTTAGAGTAGGCATCAACAAAAATCAGACACTCAACCCTCTTTACTTTTAAAAAGAAAAAATCAATATGAACCCGTTGGAAGGGAAATTTTGCTGCCGGCCATGGAACAAAATTCTCCTTAGGTTTAAAATTCACTTTAGCACACACATTACAAGAATCACAAAGCACCTCAATGTCAGAATTTAAAGAGGGCCACCATACCAGGGACCTTGCTAACAGTTTAGTACGAACAACTCCTGGATGACCTTGGTGGAGCAAACTCAAAACTTTAGACTGTAAAGACAGAGGTATGACAACTCTAAGTGCAAACATTAAACATTTGTTATGAATACTAAGTGAATCTCTTACTTTAAAAAATTTCTCTAAAGCAGGGTTGTCTGAAAACTTATTATATGATGGCCAACCAGCCACAGTAAGCTCACAAACTTTGGACAATAAAGGGTCCGAAGCAGTAGCTACACTAACACAATCAGCAGACAAGGGTAAATCAGGGTAAATCACATGAACACAAGAATCGTTAACTCCAGCTTTGACAGGAAGGCGGGAGAGAGCATCAGCCACAGTGTTGAGCTCAGACTTACGATGAACAAGTTTATAACTATAAGCCTGCAGCATGGTTGCCCAATGCTGTAAGCGATGGCCAGTTCTAACCGGCAAGGACTTGTCTTCATGAAAGATGCGAGCGATAGCAGCATTATCAGTGACTAACGTGAACTCTCTAGCCCACAAGAACCTATGACAACGATCAACAATAGTGACAACTGCTAAAGCTTCTCTATCTACCTGAGCATATGCCATTTGGGTTGGAGACAATGTTGCAGAGATAAACATGACAGGTCTTTCGACTTTTTTACCATTAACTTCAACAACATGTGCTAACACACCACCAATTCCTACAGGACTAGCATCTACAGACACAACTATTGGCAAATCTGGGTCATAATGCATCAAACACTCAGAAGAAGTTAACATATTTTTTAACAAATCAAATGACACTTGACACTCCACATTCCAATCATACTTATCATCATTAAGGGACCTTAAAGGTTTAGCAACAGTACTAAGATTGGGTAAGAACTCTGCATAAAAGCTTAACATTCCTAGGAAAGTACCAATTTGAGCACAATTGACAGGGGGTGCAAAATCAACAATGGCGGAAACCAAGGAAGGGTTTGGTTTTCTACCTTCTTTAGAAATCACAAAACCAAGATACTGAAGTTCAGGTACGAACCAATCACACTTGTCCAACCTTAGTCGAACATTGTGTTTCTCTAGTCGAGCTAGGACTAGCATAGTATTGTTAACACAATCAGACAAGCTTACACCCTTAATTAAAACATTATCTAAATAACAGGTAACACCAGGCAAATTTATTAAAATCCTATCCATCACAGACTGAAAAATTGCAGCAGCACTCGCTACTCCATAGATCAAACGAGTTAACTTAAATAAACCCATGTGGGTATTCAACACACAAAGATCTTGAGACTTAGGATCTAACTGCAACTGCGTATAAGCATCAGACAAATCGAGACTAGTAAAGAACACACCATTAGACAGGGTAGCAAAAACAGTATCGGGTCTAGGCAGGGGATAATAATCAATGCGTAACTGAGGATCCAGTGTCCGCTTAAAATTAGCACAATAACGAATAGTACCATCCTTCTTTTGAACTACAACACCTGGAGAAGCCCATTCGGACTGTCTGACACGAATGGCTTTACCCAAAAGGACTAAATTATCCAAGTGTTTGCTGACTTTATCTAACAAACCAAAAGCTACATTATAGGCTTTAGCAAATACAGGAATTGCATTGGGTTTTAGAACTAAAGTGGCAGTGAACCCTTTTATGACTGAATCTGCCTTAGAATCAAACACTGATGGGAATAACACTCTTAACTCCTCTATTGACGGAGGATTGCAATCATTTACAACATTAATTTGATTTTGTACTAAAACAGACCTCCAATGAGGAAGGATCACATCAAGCCAATTCCTACCCAATAAGGGTGTGAAATTGGGGGTATTATCACAGACGATGAAACTTAATTTATGACAGACATGATTAAAATTTACATCTACAGTCACCTCTCCTGCGTTGGCTATCATTCCATTGACGGAATGTAAAATAATCTTGGACGGAACCAAGGTAAGATTTCTGAAGGTACTGCTAAATTGAGCTCGAGACATGACAGTTGCGCCAGCTCCTGTATCAACTTCAAATTGGATGGACTTTGTAGCTACATTAAGACTGATAAGGAGGGGCGGATTACTTTTGACAGCACCAACAGATACAAAGACATTGTGCACAGAGACAAAATCATAAAAGAGGACTTAAAAAACAAATAGGCACAATAAAAGACATAGCCAACAAATCATGATTATTAGTGTGGATACACTGAATAAAACAAATTAAAACAATAAGACATAAGACGCCAGGAGGGTGACTACTAACCTATTAACAGAAGGAGCGGAGCTTGAAGACGTTTTGCACTTCTTGCTCAATGGACTCCGTCTGAGGCCCAGACTGAGACTCTTGCTTAGGCTCCTCTGTTCCCACTGAGTTGACACGATCGCTAGGGCAGTAGTTACTCGTATGGCCCATTAGGTTGCACTTGAAACATTTCCAGTTCCGTGCGGGGCAGGTGTGGCAATTGTGCTTCCGACCACACCGTCGGCAAGGACCAAACTTGGGACGCTGACCTTGACTCGGAGACTGACGTTGGCCTTGACTTGTTGACTGACCTTGTCCACGCCGTTGATTGCTGCTGGACTGACGACTGGTAGTCGGACTGGAGTTGGGGTTCTGCGGCTTCTTGGCGCGGGGTTTGGGTTGACTGTTCACCCGGCCGACGTGTACAGCGTTCGCCAGAGCCTGGGACTGCCTCCGGATTGACTCGTCCTGGATAGCAATGTTCTTGGCATTAGCAAACTCAAGGTCAACTTCTGCAAGTAGTTTGCGACGACATTCGTCGCTCCTGATCCCGCGCACTAGTTGGTCGCGTAACATCTCGTTCAGGTTGTTGCCGAAGTTACACTTGTTAATCTTCACGTGTTCTGACAGGAGTTTGTAGGACAGAGAAAAGAGATGTTCACTTCACACTGGTTAGCCGTAGAATGAATACCGTTTTATTTATCTATAGTAGGTTCCTCATAACTTAACTCTTATTCAAGAAGGCGGTGGTTACATAGTATAATCAGTCTAACTTCCAACACTCCCCTCCTTAAGGTACAACAGAAAAATTACAAAAATAAACTTATACATCTTTTTACTTTTCTACGCTATATCACATAGTTGAGCAGTCGTTGATACAAAATGAAAGATATTGACTTAGCGTGTATGACTTTCTTAGTCACTAGACAATTAATAACATAAATAAACTATAACACAAAATAATACTGATGGATTCCTAAAAGGACAATTTCACACTGAAGGTTTACAGATCATATCCCTAAATTTTATAAAAGGTTGAGGTAACAATGGTTTGGTGAAAATGTCTGCTATTTGATCACCTGATTTCACATAGTATAATTTGAACTGTTCTTCTTCAAAGGCTTCACTGATGAGAAAATATCGAATATTTATATGTTTGCTCTTGGACTGCATTTGACCATTTCTGATTAATTTAATGGAGCTTTGGTTGTCGACATACAGATGAGCAGGCATTTCTTCTTGGGTGAGTTCTTGAATCATGGTTCGGAAATATGCCATGCTTTTGTAGCATTCTGCTGCTGACACGTACTCGGCCTCACATGTTGAACTTGCCACAATTTCCTGTCTATTAGATCCCCACATGATGGGTCCTCCTGATAAGAAGATGATGTTTCCTGAAGTGCTTTTCATTTTCCCTGCAGGGCCAGATCCACCATAGTCAGAGTCACTATAGCATTGCAGTTCAGTGGATCCAGTGGAGCTGAAGTGTATTCCGTGATGAGTAGTCCCTTTGATGTATCTCATGATTCTTTTGACATTCCTTATGTCATAGTTATTCGGCTTGTCCTGGAATCTGCTTGTGTAGTTGACAGCAAAGGTGATGTCGGGACGAGTCTTGCATGATAGGTGTTGAAGGCTCCCAACAGCTTCTCGATAGGGGAATGCTTCTATTTCTTCTTCTGGTTCGACTTCTGGTCTGGTTTGGTTGGCGTCTAATGGAGTTACCACTGAACAGCATTCATCCATTCCATATTTGCGTAGGACATGGATGGCATAGTTGGATTGAGTGATTGTGAGTCCGTTTTGGAACTCCAGTTGAAAGCCAAGATATGTGCGTGGATTTAAGTTGATCACAATTTGGAACTCTTTCTCCAATTGGCTCAGAAGTTGGTTAGAGGTGTGACGATCTTGAGCAATGATGATTCCATCATCTACGTGGATTGCCAAGTAGAGTGTGTTGCTTTTGTTTTTGAAGACACACCTGTCAGATCGAAGCTGGGTAAGTCCAAGATGTTTCAAGAAGTCTGAAAGGCGCTTGAACCATCTCTGAGGGGCTTGATTCAATCCGTAGAGAGCTTTGCGAAGGAGACAGACTTTGTCTTTGGGTTGGGTGAACCCTTGCGGGATCCACATGTAGACTTCTTCCTTCAGTGTCCCATTAAGGCGGCAGGATACGCAAATTGAAGTTGTCGGATCAGGCTCAAAATTTGCACACGTATTCGGGACATCACAGGGAGGCGAGCCACAAATTTTTTTTGACCTGGCTCAATTTTGAACAAAGTTATTGAACTTTCAAAACCTCAAATTTCCTGCAGTTCGATCTCAAAAAGTAGAAGTCCTAGAAAAAAAATAATGGCAGATTCGTAAATCGGGCGACGAGATCTAGGTCGGCGGGTATGTGGGAAGTTTGTGCAAAGATATTTAGACGTTAAAATTCGATGTTCAAAGTCGTCAATTTTGAGGCCATTGTTCACCGGACTATATTGGATGCAGCTAACCACTTTCAAGAGCCGCCATACACCCGACGCCCTAGGCCCTGATGTTCCCTTCAATATGCTGTAAACCGTTTTTCCCTAGGACAAGTACTTTTTGAGATCGAACTGCAATAAAAAGACCCTGTTTTTGCCTCATTTTCCCCGTTTTGAACTTGGCGGTCGTTTGCCGGAGCGCTGGAAGGTGGCGCGGTGGAAAGGACAGGAACTACGTGCAGGCCGGCCGGCCCGAGTGACGTCTTTGTGACGGACAGCGTGCCTCGCTCGCTGCTACCTGCGGCCGGTATTGTCTCCGCCCGCCGCCTTCCCCTCCCCCTCCCCCTCCCCTCCCCTAGGCAGCCCGAGCTAAGCCGGAGCTGCACTGCGCTGGGGACTGAGGCCGGCCGGTGCGGAGAAGCGGTGTGCGAGCCCAGCCTTGGCTCCGGCTGATATCGGACCAAATCGAACTTAAATCGTGGACGTGACGCGGCGATTTGAAATTGGCGAAAAGATGTGAAACCATTTGATGGTGCCCGGCCTTAGAGATCATTTATACCCCTATGGCAGATATCAAGCTTCAACGGGTATCAAATTGATCGAAAAAGAGACCGCAAACTCATGGTGCCCATCCGCCCCAGTTTGATTCGAGCATTTAAATTCTGAATTTGCTACGTAGGCGTGCTGAAGCGCCGCGCCCAGCCGCGCGTCTCGCTGGTCGGCTGCCGCTCCCCCTCCACTCTTCGCCCGGGCCACGTCTCTGGCTGCAGTCCGTCGCCCGAGGTGCGACGCTGGCCTTACAGATCATTTATACACCTATGGCAGATATCAAGCTTCAACGGGTATCAAATTGATCGGAAAAGAGACCGCAAACTCATGGTGCCCATTCGCCCCAGTTTGATTCGAACATTTAAATTTTGAATTTGCTAGTAGGCGCGCTGCAGCGCCGCGCCCAGCCGTGCGTCTCGCTGGTCGGCTGCCGCTCCCCCTCCACTCTCCGTCCGGGCCACGTCTCTGGCTGCAGTCCGTCGCCCGAGGTGCGACGCTGGAGAGGATTACTGCATGATTGACAGGTCACCTGTCCCAGCCGGCGGGGGAGGAGGGGGGCTGGAGGGGGAGCGCACCGACGCAGAGGTAACGGGACTTGCGGCTCGGCGAGGAGCTCGGTTAGGGTGGTCCAAAAAAAAGTGAAGTTGCTCGGATCGTCCAACGCCGCCCGGCTTTGGATTCTACATCGAAAAATATGAAATACGTGTTTTTTCCTTTTTCGAAAAAATGATTTTTAGGACCTCCGCAGAGCCCTCAAAGTTTTTAACAGTGCTATAAATAGGAAAAAATCGTAACTTGGTCATTTTTTGACCGATTTTTAAAAACGAAACGGTGATTTGTTCGTTTTTGAATGCTTATTACGAAAAAAAATATGCCCAACCCTCTTTTTGGTTTGTCTAACTTTCAGGGGCAAAAAATGACTAAATTTCGGCCCAAATTGGCAATAGTTTCAGTTTGTAGGCCGCTACTGCCACTCCAAGTGCACCCTGTCAGCATGGCGGGGTGCCCCCACCACAAGGCAAGCCCCATGAACAGAATTGGGATGCCGAGTGCAATTTGCCTACCTCCCAGGGGCATCAAATCGTGGATTTCTTCGAAAATCTATCAATACTGATGTCTCTTGGGGCCTCTGGGCACTCAGATGGGCACACATTCACATGGTTTGATACCCACACTACGTGATATGAACGTTATGGACGTTGTTGACGCGAGGAACCGCAAACCACGCAAGGCCACAAGAAAAGCCATCAAAATGAAGGAATTTTCTAAATTTTTACGTTTTTTTGGTCCTGAGAGGTAGGCATGAGGTGCTCAACAGTCCATTCCTATTGTTTGTTCTTTTTACGTAGTGCGGGTACCGAACCGTGTGAAAGGGTGCCCATCTGAGTGTCCAGAGGCCCCAAGAGACATCACTATTGATAGGTTTTCGAAAAAAATCCACAATTGGATGCCCCTGGGAGATAGGCAAACTGCACCCGGCATCCCAATCCTGTTCATGGGGCTTGCCTTGTGGTGGGGGCACCCCGCCATGCTGACAGGGTGCACTTGGAGTGGCAGTAGCGGCCTACAAACTGAAACTATTGCCAATTTGGGCCGAAATTTAGTCATTTTTTGCCCCTGAAAGTTAGACAAACCAAAAAGAGGGTTGGGCATATTTTTTTTCGTAATAAGCATTCAAAAACGAACAAATCACCGTTTCGTTTTTAAAAATCGGTCAAAAAATGACCAAGTTACGATTTTTTCCTATTTATAGCACTGTTAAAAACTTTGAGGGCTCTGCGGAGGTCCTAAAAATCATTTTTTCGAAAAAGGAAAGAACACGTATTTCATATTTTTCGATGTAGAATCCAAATCCGGGCGGCGTTGGACGATCCGAGCAACTTCATATTTTTTTGGACCACCCTAAGCTCGGTGCATCCCGGGAGAAAACGCGTATCTGTATGGCCATACCTGCGCAGATATGCCTCGCCACTACCGCCATCTCTCGGACAATGCCTACACTTTTGGCATAGTTATTGGCACGGAGTATCGCCTTGGGGTATTGCCATCAGAGACTTTATGCCAAATCAGAGGAGCCGACCGTATCCGGCCGCCTTAAGGAACGCTGTCTTCACGTCGAAGGTGTTGAGGATGGAATTGTTGCGAGCTGCTAATGCAAACAGTACTCGCAGGTTGGAGGTGTCGACTACTGGGCTAAATATGTCTTTGCCTTCCTTGCAGTTTATATCCTGTTGGTATCCTTTTGCCACAAGTCTGGCCTTGGGTCTTCCATCTTCTTTGTATTTGAGAACCCATTTACTGTCAATGATTTTGTGACCTTGGGCTGCTTCTTTATCTACAAGTGACCAGGTATGATTTTTCTTCAGCGATTGCTTCTCATCTTCTATGGCGTCTCTCCACTTCCCACTCTTCATGCATTCATCAAAGTTGAGTGTGAGATTTTCACCGTTGCACAGGTATACCTGTTTTACAATTTACAATCGGATTCGGAAAATTACTATTGTGAGCTCAAAATCAACACTTAAGATTCGCAATTTTCAGAACATGGTTTGAAAATTACCAACAATTGTCAATTTTACGAAATTGTTTCGAATTTTCGCATCAAGTTATGAAAATTGCAATGTTTGTAAAATTCATATCCGTGTTCGGAAAATTGTCACCAAAATTGCTTTGAAAATTCATAACTTTTTTAACAGTGTATAGTTCAAAGTCTTTGAATTTCTTGGGTGCTTGTCTAGCTCTCTCTTCCCTAAGACTGTATTGGTGCTTGGTGTCCTTCGGCTTGATTGTCCTCGGTGGTTTTCTCTGTGGTGTTTCTTCCTCACTTTTTGACAGCTCGGTGATTTGGTCCCAGTTCTCTTGTTGATTCACATCTTCTGACAGCAACTGGAAATGTTGATTCTCAAAGCTGATGTTGGTTTTCTTGGGGTTTGGATGAAATTTCACGTCTCTTGCCATAAATATTTCCTTCTTGATAGGATCCCATATTCGGTAACTGTTCAATCCATATCCAACAAAGTAGCCATGTCTTGCTCTTGAGTCAAGTTTCTTGAGGTATGTTGTAATCTTCGTGCTCACTTTGTTTCCGAAGATTTGGATGTTTGACAGGTCTTGTTTCTCGGAGAGCCATATTTCTGCTGGCAGCTTGTCTGTTGCTGTTGTAGGGCTCCGGTTTATCATATACACAGCTGTCTGCACGGCCTCTCCCCACATGGGCTTGGTTAGCTCGGAATCATAGATCATGGCTCTTGCGTGATTGAGTATGTTCCTGTTCATTCTTTCTGATGTTCCGTTGAGTTCTGGGCATCCAGGCACAGTGTAGTCCATAATCACGCCTTTTTCTTCAGCCCATTCTATGAGTTCATTGGACACATACTCTCCTCCGTTGTCGCATCGTATCTTCTTCAGTTTGGTTTGGTGTTGATTCTCAGCTTCCTGTACGAATTTCTTCAAACAGTCGAACACTTCACTTTTGTGGTGCATCAAATATATCTGGGTGAAATGAGAGAAGTCGTCTATAAAAGTGACGAAATACCTATGACGATTATAAGTTTCTGGGTCAATGGGTCCACACACATCTGAATGCAAGAGTTCTAGTACTCTTGTTGCTCTTTTCCTTATGGTGTTATGAGGTTTCTTGCACAGTTTGGCTTCAGAGCAGATGGTGCAGTCAAACTCCAGTCTATTGTTGAGGGCAAATGTCACTCCAGTGCACATGCTCTTCAATTTAACTAGATTGGGTAATCCCAGATGACCCATTTTCCTGTGCCATGTCGTTGCTGCATCTTCTTTTTCAGTGAAGTTGGCTTCTGGGAGGCTTTGTTTGAGATTTACTTCAAACAGTCCATTTGAAGTTTTTGGTCCTTTTAACAAGATCAGATCTTGTGGTACCTTCAGGGTTCCCTTGAGTATTTTAACTCCATCGTTATCAAATAATACTGCTCCACTGTGGTTTGTGACTTCGCTTACTGAGATCAGTTTCTTCTCCAATTCTGGAACAAACAGAACATTTTCAAGTTGACAACTTTTCCCATCCACTGATCCATAAGCGGTTGAGCTCATGGTAAATTTCTTTTTGGCAGTTTTAATGGTTTCGTTGATTTCTGTCAAGCTATTCATTATTTCTTTACTGTCTGACATATGAGCATTAGCCCCACTGTCAACGGTAAAGGTGTAATCTATATCGTCTGTTTTAGTTGATAATTTTGCTGCAAGATTAGTTGATTTATTTGAATTGAGAGTACTTACTCCTCCTTTCACTATAGTTGATGCCAATAATACAGCCTTTTTGGGCGGGCTTTTGCTCCTTGGTCTTTTATTTTTGTGATTGTAGTTTCTCTTATCCTCAGAGTTTTCGTTGAAGTTCTTTCTTTTATTTTCTCCATTGTAGGATTTTTGTTTGTCGAGTTTCTTTCTTATGCCACAGTCATCTGTAGAATGGTTATACATCTTGCAAACGGTACAAGTATAGGGTTTATTCTGACCTTCTTGGTGTTGTCCTTTTTTGTAGATATGCTGATCAGTGCGATGGTTTGTTCTCAGGCATATGGAACAGGCGATGCAGTCTTGTGAAACGTGTCCAGTTCGTCCACACTTGAAGCACTTTCTGTCATGCCTCTTGTTGTAGTGCTTTGATTGAGAGTTGAAGGCCACCGTAGATTTAGCCTCTTTTTCACCCTTCCAGTTGTTTTCCTCCATTTGGAGTCGAATGCAGAGTTGGTCTAGGGTCTTGTTGGACTCGGAATCCCATGCACTTATAAAGTGTTTGTAAGTATGAGGCAAGATTCCCATTATTTTGGAGATAATCATTGTTTCGTCCATCTGAAGTTTCAAGGCAATCAGTCTGTGGGAAATGTTTTTCACTGCACTTACATTCTCCATCATGCTCTTGGATTTGTCGTATTTTAGATCAAAGAACTCCTTCATTAGGCGATGTTTGGTTTGGTCGTTGTTTTCTGAGTACAGGCCTTTCAGCTTATCATACATAGCCTTTAAGGTCTTCTCAGTTAAGATATGTTGTTTGACTGAAATGTCTATGCTATCCAATATTATCTTCCTTGCCATAGCGTCGTATATTTTCCATTCTTTGATCTCATCTTCTGTCGTGCCACGAGTTGCGGTACCTTCTACGTACTCCATCAGAGATTTTGCTTCGAATGCTGTGGTGACTTCTAGATCCCACAGGGGATAGTTGCTACTATCCTTTAGTTTTGGCATATTGCCGTAATTTTCTTTGGAGTCCATGGTAGCTGACTTTTCTTCTTGTCGCTCAGATTCGGCCAGCTGGGCCCATAACCTGTTAATCTTCACGTGTTCTGACAGGAGTTTGTAGGACAGAGAAAAGAGATGTTCACTTCACACTGGTTAGCCGTAGAATGAAAACCGTTTTATTTATCGATAGTAGGTTCCTCATAACTTAACTCTTATTCAAGAAGGCGCACGGTAAAGCTGCGAGTCGCATTATATGCGAGCCTACGCGCTGAACCAGAATGCGAGCTGCGCGCACATTCGGAATGAGCGCGACCGCACCGTCTTTCCAGAATCAGCGCGCCCGTGTCCATTTCTTGGTGCAAAAGTTGGCGAGGACGCGCCAAGAAATGAGCGCGCGGCGCACAGAAATGAGCGCGTTGCTCGCATTCTGGGGTCCAGGTAGTCGGGCAAAAACAATGGCCGAGCGGGACCAGACCCCTCGACGCCGGATTAGCTACCTGCTACGCTGCCGACTGTGCCACGGAGGCGCGCTGGAGACAGAGCCCCGCGCCACCGATCGCTACGAGCGCGCCCGCCTGGCGAAGGATGAGCAGGAGGGGTGGGGGGGAGTCTGGAGTGACACCGAACCTACTTATTTCTGTGCGCCGCGCGCTCATTTCTTGACGCGTCCTCGCCAACTCTGCCGAAAGCGCCCGCGGATGACAAAACTGGCCGCTCTCGCACTCATTCCGACAAATGGTCGCATGGTCGCACTTATCAGCGCGGAACTGCTCATTTATGGTCCCGGTTTCCACCACTTTTGATCCTTTTCGCACCCATTCTCAAAAGTGATTTTCAGACTTGCACAGTGCGGTGGTTACATAGTATAATCAGTCTAACTTCCAACAACACTTGCTCGCCAAGTCTCGCAGCGACGCGATGTACTCGTGCACGGAAAAAAAAGTGTGAGCTGGCACAGCTAATTTGTTGGCTAGCCAGGAGATAGCCCAAACGTCAGCTGTGATAACTAATCTGGGTTGTTCAAGACAGACCACTTATTACAAAGAAAATCCCTCAGCTAGGGCAGACAAACACAGTTGCAGTCATAGCTTGGACGGTGGCAGCAGTCTGAACCAATCCCATAGAATTATGCCAGACCATTTACATTATTTTCAGCAAATAATGGACTCCCCTCCGTCTGCTCGCGAATCCATGCTGTGCCACACAAACTTATTTTTGTCAAGGCAGCTTAATTATTGTTTTGGGAAGATAAGAGGCATTGACACTAAAAGCTTTCAGATGTAGTTCTCTTTCCTTTCTTTTTCTGTTGTCGCAATTTCAAATAGTCGAAGTTAATTAAAAGAAATGAGAGCACTTTTGTTTTCATTTTATATTTTAATGAGACAATCATATACATAGAACACAACAATAATAAATATATTTGTTCAACAAATTATCAACATATCTATAAATATGAAATACAAAAATAAATACTGTTGGGCAACAAATTTCAAACATTTCTATAAATTTGATATTCATCAAATTATTTCAGAAAATTAATACATCACAGAATATATCTAAGTATCACATATTTTTGATTCCAGGTAGAAGTATACAGATTTAGTGGTAGTGGATCATAAAGATCATGAGGAGAAATACTTGACCACCTGTCAGTGCATTGCACTACATATGCATGCACATGTTCGTCAAATCCAAGGCAGAGCATATATGAAAAAACAAAAACAGGGAGGTCACCATCCAGAAGAATATCTTCAAGTTTGCCAAAAATTGGTCCCCCAGACTCATCAATTTTCAGCAGTAAAATCATACCTGGCTTAAACTTGGTGCCCTTAAACTCAACCCAGCTACTTGATGCACAGGATGATGTAGGTGATAAATGAATACTGTCTGGCAAGCTCTTCACAAATTCAGTATTTTCAAAGTCATCTGCATAAACCTCACTAATAGGGCCAAATTCAGTTATTTGCAAAATAGAAGGTCTAGATTTTAACCAAAAGGACATATTGAGTTGATGTTGGATGGCAACAGTTTTACAAATATCACGACGTGACTCAGTGGCATGGGCAGGGATAAGCAAAGCTCTGTGCTTGCTCTCATAACGTTTAGTTGATGTCAGAGAAACAGGCCCGCTTTTCTCAAAAGTGGAGCCATAATGGCACAAAAAATGCATCTTTGGCTTTAAAGTATCACCAGTAACTTGAATATACATAGAGTTAAATTCATCAACAAGGACACGTAGAGATACCCCTTGACTAAATGACAGAGACTTAGACAAACAAACATCCAGGAGCTCACGCAATTTCAAATACAACTTCCAATATTCATCATCATGATCAATTTTGTCACCAACAAGAATTCCAAACAGTTTTACAAAGAGATAAGTTTCTGACCCAGACATTTTCAACTTCTCTCTTTTGGCAAAGTCTGCCGACAACAACGGAATTTTATTTGAATCACATGGACCAAACTTGAAAAACTCAATTCGATGATTCAGAAAATCAACAGTGAAGTACTTTGGAATGCAGTGCTTAAGGACATGCATCATCGTATAGTGACAAACCCCTTCAAAAAGATCATGAAATATGTCCACACAATAATTTGAAGTAATACAAGGTAGGTTTACGCCAGACCGCGTCTTGTCGTAACAGGCTTCGCGATGTCTCGCTGCCTGTTCCTCCAATCCGCGCCTGGCGTACCTACCTTAGGGTGGTCCAAAAAAATATGAAGTTGCTCGGATCGTCCAACGCCGCCCGGATTTGGATTCTACATCGAAAAATATGAAATACGTGTTCTTTCCTTTTTCGAAAAAATGATTTTTAGGACCTCCGCAGAGCCCTCAAAGTTTTTAACAGTGCTATTAATAGGAAAAAATCGTAACTTGGTCATTTTTTGACCGATTTTCAAAAACGAAACGGGGATTTGTTCGTTTTTAAATGCTTATTACGAA